TAGAAAATCTATTAAAACTCTATAAAGCTGGTTTAGAAAATCATATAGAATTAGCCTATAGAAAAGCTGTAGAAATTTTATAGAATGGTTTCTTTAGAAATTCTATACATTATTTTCTTACGGGTAAATAGCAACCACTAACATCTTGGCCTATATACTTCACGTATACAGAGTAAAATATTTCTTTAAAAAATATATAGGCCTATCTTTTAAAAAAGCAGAATCGAAATAACAACCATTAACATCATAATATAGTTTACGTGTATATTGCTCAAAGCGATTGAGAGGGTAGTCCAGTGCTGTACATCTAGAAAACACTAAACCAGCTAGTTCATAACTCACAAAATCTCTAGATGCTGGAAACTGCGAAATGCGATTGAGATTCAGGCAGTAATTATATACCTGAAAATACCCTAAAATACAACAATCTCATCCTATTAAATCATTAAAGAAAGAAAACATAAAGATTCAATAAGACAAACAATTGTGAGCAGGGTTCCATCGGGTGAGTTTTTTGCGATCTCTTGAACAAACCAAACGGTAGAAGACCGAATGAGTTTTGGTGCGGAATCTGCAAAATCTCCCATTGCGCGCTTAAGTCTTCATTCCCTCAATAGTGACTTGTATGACAAGCGAAGGTTACGTTTTGGCTTATACGGTGCAAGTAATTCTTGCAAATAAGCAGAGCAATATCCATTTTAAAACATTTATTAACCGTTGTAAAATCCTGAAGCAATTTTCTGCGAAATAGAAAGCTAATAACACCTTACAAAACTTATGAAATGGTAGTTCCTTCAAGAATCGAGTCGATTCGAATTATCTTTACCTGTCCTACGCACGTCTGCTACCTGAATTTTCCTAAGTGGTTAAAAATGTCAAAATATAACATGAATTATTTATTTAAAAAAAAAAAATCGTTAGAGGATGTTGAGGAATGGTAGAGGTATCAACTATCATGTGAAAACGTGTCCCTCCAACAAATTACACAACTTTGGGTTAAGTCTTTTAATATTCTATTTCATTATGTTTTAGCATGTTATTTAAATACACGTCTTTTACGATAATAAGTACGGTAGTGAGCATTTCCAACACCAATATTATAGCATGCAGTTCTTTTATATTAATGGCATTGAAATTCATGTTACGTCATCGCTTCTCGGCCTTTTGGCTAAGATCATGTGTAATATCTGTT